TTAGCTGGTAAAAACCTCATTATAGCTAATAGGAATGTTTGAGGGTGGGGAAAAGGCAAAGATTTTGGAATCTAGAGGGACATTCCTCTAGAGTGGGGTTTACTTTGCTCTAAGCATTTGATATTACGTGTTCATAGACCCGATTGGGAACCAGTTAGCATGTTAAATTGAACTATTATTATATAAGTATCTTCCACGTTGGTTGAGAGTAACATTAGTCGGCTTCTTGAAGCGAGAGTAAAAAATCCTCGTAGCAGTGACGAATAACCGCAACGTGGTTTGGTGGAAGCCCAGCAATGTTCGTCAATGATAGCTCTGGTACTAATGCCCTCAATAGTACCGGTCGCAACTATAATAGCGCTGCTATTCTCCAGACAGAAATTCAGGTCATATGGTGAAGCTCTCCGTAGCTAATTTGACGGTGTAACACTGATTTAGAACTATACAGTATTTGGTGATTGTCGGGATGGTCCTTGGATTCCGAACTTCTAGTTGTTATAGCGGAGGAGGGGAGCCGAGTGATGTAGCAATGTATGAGCGTTTTGAAAGGCTAACTGGCCTTATATTACTTAGTGTGCCTACATAACAGTTGACTGAATCCAAAGTAAGAACTAACTCAGAATGGCAGTAGGCTGCCATTGTTACAGCTTGAAACTGCAGGAGTAGTTTCCGGTGGCGGACGGTAGTAGGTATAGGCAGGGCAAGAGTACCAGTCAATTCATTATCTGATGACCAAAAAACTTGGAAAGTGGTTGTGACCAGAGTTGTAGGGGTTGAAGAGCGAAGAGGCAGCGTGTAGTCGATAGGCTGCTGGGTTTCGCCAGGTATGTGGAGGCAAGGTTGTCTTACCAGATAGATTCGTTCACGTACGGCATTAGGCATGGTGATATCACGTGCGGCGTTCCGTTCACGACCCTCGAAAACAACCAAAATTTTCTGCTCAAGGCTACCTCTCTCACCTGACACATGCTGCTATTCACTGTCTTGGTGAACTTCGCCCCTGAATCTCTGCTCAAGCCTACCCCTTAACCCACATATGCTGCCTTAGATCCATCTAGAGCAGCAAAGCGAACAATAGATAGGTTCTCTTATGGTAGTCTGTTGCGTTCCTCCGGAGTCGAGCCAGTTCATTGTCTTCCATCTTGAGCCCTTCACGCATTTCATCTACAAGCTTGCCAGTGTTCTTTTCAGAAGCTGGTTGGGCCGCAGGTGCATGCAGGAATTGCAAGATATAGAACATATCAAAGAGAAGCTGCTTCTGCCTATCATTCGTACCCTCTTCACCCTTAGGAGGACCCTCTGGCTTGTCTTCTTCCTTCTGATCTGGTTCCGAAGTGTCAACTGTACCATGTGCCCCATTCACTGCATTTGCTCTATTCCGCAGAAGCTCCGACCGTCCACACCATATCCTGACCAATTCATTTTTTGTGGCGTCCTTCAAAACCTTTGTTACGCTCGGTGCCCAAAGATCACTGCCGTATGCTCCCATGCGCTTCGAAAGGTCACGAAGGAACCTAAACGCGCTTGGTGAGGGCTGTATAGGTAAAGGAGGGTTACCTTCCCAGAGGATATGGTCAGGCGAGTGATCGGATTGGGGGGACGTAGTTATGGCCCTCTCATAAGCCTGAACGGTGGGTTGAATAGTGCTTTGGGCAAGAGTTTGGTAGAGGGGGTCGAGCAAAGATGATGTGAATGGGGTCGATTGTCGCATCGACTTCCGATCTTGTAGAGCCAATCGCGGGACCCGATCTCCTATTTCCCGAACCACGCGGAGCACAAATATAACCTGCTCAATAGAACCGTACTGTTCCTTCGCGGTCAACTGTCTAACGATATCCATCGTGTCCTTCTGCAAACTTGAAAGCGCATTATTGAGGGCTTCTTGTGCTGTCTCCTCTAACAGAAGTGGGTCATCATTGCCCAACAGTCCCTGGCTCGAGTCTAGGTCGAACTCGTCGCCTGAATCGCCCGAATCGTCCGCAAAAGTATCGTCCCACCGCGCCTCTCTCATAGATTTAACGATGCTCTTAACTTCCAAGACAGACTCGGCCCATTTGTCATAAGCAGTTGTAACCCCCTTCACGCGTTCGTCTCGTCCTTGTTGCTTACTGATGATATTCTCCTTGAATGATTGACCACCATCGCTAATCTCAACGGAAAGTGAAGAGGGTGACCAGAGTAAGCCATTTGCGTCATCACCAGCAGAGTGCCAATTTTCTAGCCTTTTTGTGATCTCCGAGACCACTGAGTCAATGTCTCGCGCGCGCGAATGGACAAGGCTTCCGAGCTGAGAATTAATTGCGTCTCGTAGATCATCCAGCACTTTTGCTGGCTTGAGTCCTGGCATTCTGATACCAGCGAGAATGATTGTTTCAAACAATTCCTGCCTTAATAAGGTCACTTCTCTAAGACTAAGCAACCTTAACAACCCTTCCTTGATACCCTTCAAGAAAGTACTCATTGCCTGCTTGGACCAGACAATGAGTAACCTTTCGGCTTCGGGCCGCTGGAGCTCGTCATGTCGTGGCCAAGGCGTATAGTCCCGTGTTTCGTTAGAAAGCCAGCGGCCATGTATGTCTAGGTTCAGTTCGTGCAGGCCCTGAATGTCTGGGTCCTGGAGTAGTGGATGTGCTTTAAGTCTTGCTAGTGACTCCGCCAAGCGACGCGGGAATATAGCTTGGGTGTCTTGACAAGTCTGTAGACAGAGCTTAAGAGCAGCAATGCCATTGTTAGTCAAATCCTCCGCGCCTTTTAGCAGACTGCCGATCTCCTCCATGCGCACATGGTGGAAATGTCTCAGAACGTCCGTTGGGGCGGAACTAGTAATTAACGCATACGCGCACATGCTTTCGACCAGGATGGGAACTTCGGATGATTTGCTGGAGATACGTTTGTCAATCCTTTTCAGGAGATTATTACGCAGGGCGCTGAGTCGATCGCGAATTTGATCCAGAAATGGGGGCTTGTCTTCAGATTGAGAAAGCGCTTTATAGAGTAACCGAGATATAACCAGAACCTTAACCGCGAGCAAATAAGATTCTTTCTCTCTAATCAATCGACTTATGACAGTTGGACAGTTCTGGAGAACCGATAGCTGGGACGCAAAGGTGTATCGTTCTGTAACTATATGTCAGAGCTTCAATCGTGCGCAAGCCGCGAGGGCAAGTTTGCCGGAAACTGACCGCGTGCCTTGGAGTTATTGACCATCCTGGTAGCATTGCTGGAAATTCGATCTACGCCACGAGAATTGCATCTTTGCCCTACTCTTGCTAACTTGGTCTCCACTTGCTGCATTCTATTTTCCATGTCGATTATAGTCTCGGCTGTATCCAAGAGGCTACGGTAACTTGCACTGGAACAATATATTTGACGTTAGAAGTCCTATATTGCAGAAGAAATGCACGCGGACGCTCACCCAACAAGCGACCGAAGCTTCTCACGGTTGTCAGTGGCATTAGAGCGGAGCTGATTCTCCAGCTTTCGAACAACAGGAACCGGATATTTGAAAGCATCCTCCCAGCTGCTGAATGTGCGAGGATCCGGGGCCTCGGAAGCCATTGTGGTAAATGGCCGGTTATAAATTGCAGTCTATACGAAGGTATTGCTTGGGTCTGAGAGGTGAGCTGGTCTGTAGAGCACGGCCGGACCAACGTTTTACCGATGGAGCGCGATCTCTTTATGGCTGTACCCGAAGGCGCGAAAGCATGCGAAAAGTGGCTGGTGCTGTGAGGACATATGCTCTCAGCCATACAAAAAAGATTGCCTGCCGCTCAGAGAACAGGAAGAAAGGAGATAATAATAGGCTTATATTACCTACCAGAAAGTAGGAAAAAGAAAAGATATAAATGTGAGGTCGTGCCCGGGATCGAACCGGGGTCGCCGGAAGCTTTTAACTTTAATGTTCAATCAAAATCCGGAGTGATCACCACTACACTACACAACCTGTTATTTGATGAAATTAAATTAGAAATTTAATTTTATATTATGCACTATTTACCATCACCAACGTTTTCGCTCCACATTTTACCACGCTGCCTCACATCAAAACGCAGCTTCGTAATGGGGTTGCGAGATATATCTAAGGTGGAGGATGTATCGGCTTTTGGATTAAACATCCCTAGATGTAATCAACATAGCTCTCCACACCAAGGCGTTGCAGAGGATCGATTGTATCTTTAATGTTATTTTGGCAATATGTACATCGGAGAGTGGTCCGGATTGAGGATAGCTGCACGAAGGACGGATTTTTGAAGACCTTGATACGCACATGTTTCCCAGGAGCAGAGAATGGAGCGCCAGCTGGGAAATACCGTTTATTTATTATTATTATAATTCAATTTAACGTGCTACCTGGTTCCCAATCGGGTCTATGAACACGTAATATCAATGCGTAGAGCAAATTAAACCCGACATCAAAGGAGTCTCCCTCCAACGTCCAAAAATCTTTGCCCTTTCCTCAACCTAAACCATTCTAATATAGCTATGGTGAGTTATATCGTTTATTTAAACAAGGGATTTTGTTTCAATAATCAGTCATTTAAGCTCTCTCTTAGACCAGCTACGTATTTGTGTGGCCGAATGAGCAAAATCTGAATTCAAAACTCATATGCTAGTATAACTAATAATAGGGCCAAAGAACTACTTCAGAAGGTGTTGAGTTCAAAATCTCTCGTGAGAGCACAGCTCATATGGAGCCTTTAAGCTCAGTATACACCACTCTTAAATTATAAGCACACTTACATCTGCTCAAGCCGATAAAGGTGAAAGTAATTACTGAATAAGCCCGCAGACATCCGACCAGTGTTTAGAGTGCACCATAACTTTAACCGAAACGAAGTCGGTTATTGGGACACCATTATGTGTTTACTAATAGCGATTCCATTTTAGATGCTATTGTAATCAAACCAGACTGTGGGGTTCTCACCTCATAATCTGACGAGTGTAGGCAGGATGAACCAGGGGAAATCGGTTCGGGACAACTGCTGCTTTACCCCACTGAAGCGAATCTCCGTAACAAGCAAGGTACAGAAGAGGCAGTCGGGATAAGCTGAGCATCAAAGGGTATGTCTGGACATTGTTCTGTGACAGGTGGCAGTCCTTCCCTTCGGACAATCAGTCGGACTCTTCTTTTAACGGTCTGCGCTCAGCCTCTTCCTCCTCCTTCGTTTTCTGAGCGAGACTCTCCCTAAGACGCTCCTCTTGCCTCTTCCAATGGCTACCCTCTTCATAATCTTCTCGGATACCGAGCGCTTTCCGGAGCCTCTCGCTCTCTTCAATCTTCGCTCTGGCAAGCTCATGCACTTGATGTGACTTTAGACCTCGTGCGGACAGTTCCGTTTCTTTGCCCTTCTTCCGCTCATCTTCTAGCTTCTTCCGAAGCGCATCACATTGGTCATCAATTTCGTCTTCATCAACGCTGGAAACAGTTAGCTATGCTAAAATCGACTTCAGTAAACGACGTACCCCTCGTCTTCCAACTTGTCTCGCAGCTCAAACACTTTCACCTCAATCTCGCGACGCCGGTCATGCTCAAGAATCTCCTTGTCTGGCTGGCGCTGGCGATGCTTGAACTGGTCCCAGTCTTTCGGATACGGCGCCGCATTGTCGCGGGGTTTAAGCAAAGAAAGATTCCGTTGGACATATCCAGAGGTTCCGCTGCCACGGGGAGTAGAGAGGCCGACATTAGAAGACATTATGGATCAGGTCTTTCTAGCAACGATCGAGGTATGGTATGCGACCTAGGTGGTTTGGTGTTGATTGTTCGAGTTGAGCACGAAGGTCAACAGAGCGGGTGATCGCCACGGTTCGCGTGGCGTTGACGTAGCGTGGCGCGAACTGTGGCTAGTGTCTGGCTGATGTTGCCCCACCAATTCACTCTCACCTTTTTTAAGACTCACAAAGACACGCCGCCATGGAATCATACAAACCACCTAACATCTGCCCAGCTTGTGCTCGTTGTGGTTCGTTACCTTCTCCACATACAACATGGAGGAACCCAGCGCTACGCTCCCTCAAGGATCCCAAGACGCTCTGACCGAGCTACCGTTTCCCCCACTTACCAAGAGCCATATTCTCAACTGTTCATACCATTCCTGGCACCCACGGTATATTCAGCACTATGAAGGTTCATTGATATGGTGCTAACAACTCAGATATCGAAGCATCACCCCCAAGGCGCGACTGATTCCTCTTTCCGACGCATTCATCTCATACCTCCGAGGCGATGGTATAGTCCTCCCCCCAGAGAATACAGATAATCCTGTATGGTCCGACTCCGACAGCGGTATCTTCTCAGGCGCAGATAATGCTTCGGAAGCAGAAGAAGAGGAGGAGGAGGACCCATCACTGCTATGGCGCGATATCCATGAATCGATTCAGCAAATGATCCAGGAACTTGGTGGCAAGGTCGTCCCGAAGCTGAACTGGTCTGCTCCGAAGGATGCTACTTGGATCGCCGCTACCAACAGCATGGAATGCAGAACGCCCAATGACATATACCTGCTACTCAAGTCGAGTGATTTTGTCACTCATGATCTCGAACATGCCTTTGATGACTGCGTCGAGGAAACTACTTCGAAGGACTCCCCTGAAATACCGTATCATCTCGTTCTTCGTAAGCAGATCACACTGAATCCCTCGGTTGAGTTCCGGTGTTTTGTTCGTCGGCGCAAACTTATTGCCCTATGCCAAAGAGACCTCAATTACTTTGAGTTTCTCTTCAAAATGCAGGACCAGTTACGGGACACAATTCAGGACTTCTTTGATACACGCATTCGGGACACCTTTCCGGATGAAAGTTTTACATTCGATGTGTATGTGCCCCCGCCGCATAAGCGTGTCTGGCTCATAGATTTCAACCCTTGGGCACAAAGGACGGACCCCTTACTTTTCAGTTGGCTGGAGCTTCTCACATTATCTGATGACCCTCGGGACCAGCCAAGCGAAGCTCGAAGCGGTGTTTCCGAACTAGCCCCTGGAGATGATTTGAATGAAGACCAACCTGCCGAATCCGAGACTGAATCTCTTGAGTTTATTCCGGAATTCAGGCTTGTTCGACGAGACGACCCTGAGGCGTATGGATTCACAACTCCTCAATACAGTGCGCATAAGCTGCCTCGGGACGTAGTAGACGCCAGCAGGGCTGGTGGGGGGAATCTCAGGGAGTTTGCTACGCAGTGGAAGGAAGCGCTTGCGAAACAACAGCAAGCTGATGAGGAGGATAGTTCGGAGGAGTGATAATTCACATGATTCCGGAATAGCCTAAAGGCTAGTCCGCCAGACATGTAGCATTTGGGCGGTATCGTCTGTAAGAGGCATGAAGGGGCGATTGCCACCCCCCCTTAACACCGTAATATTCATGGTTTGCGTTTCACGAATGTTTCTTCGTTGCTCAATACGCCGTCATTTAAAATAAGGAAGCGATGCTCTGCAACCTATATTTGCCTTAATTCGTAATAACTTGTCTCACTTCAGTCTTTGAAGTAGAGACACAGTACTCCAAGCACACCCAGTAGAGCTTACTAGAAGAGTTCTGCTTTTATGTTTACATGCCCTGCATGAAGACTGCCAGAGAACTCGTCAGTGAGCGGTTTTCTTTACGTGGGCTATTCCTGTACTGGGCCAGAGCTAGATCCACGTATATTATTCTTACAATAAGAATCATTTTTATCAATTAAATAACGCGGTTGTATGGTGTAGTGGTAGCACATGGGATTCTGACTCGCAGAGAACATTCCCACGACCCCGGTTCGATCCCGGGTACGACCTTCTTTTGCTGCCCAGGTCTCCCTTTTTTTACTCCCAATTCATTAAAATTTGTTAAACGAAGGTGGGAGCGGGGTAGAACTTGAATCGGCCTCACGTAAACGATTACATGTGACTGCGAGCACATAAGGTGAACTGTGGCGATCGGTATTAAAGGGTCCGACACCACAGATTCTATTTTTGTTTGCAGTTGTGTCTTACCTTTTATCTTATTCTACGGTTATATGGACATTGGAAATGCCTGTAGCTTGCTGTGGATGGTGTCACAGCAACCGAGACATCTGGGTACGCTTCTCGGTTTGGATCGGCAAATCGGACGACAGCTGATTACAGCTTCCGACTTCTTCCTTTCACTAACAACTAGCTACACCACCTCCTTCATCATCGCTCACACTCACAGTTACAAGAGCATGGTGACTCCTGCTGATACAAAGAAGCGATGCAACCGTCTTAATAGTCATTTCATCACAAACCAATGCCGCCTCCGGTTTTCCTTCACTACCGCGTAGAACCCCCAGAGCCCTCTACATATCCCTCGACTCGAGCTTGACTCGCACACAAGTCTGTAGCTCTTACGTCACAGCGACGCCGCCCGTCTTGCTTCCCCGCTCCGCAGTTCTCAAGGGTCAAGTTACTGCGAGAACTGAGCTACTTGATAACACCACCTTCTTGAACCGTCGTTCACGAGTTCCGCATAATTCGGTCAGAAAGCCCCGAGGTCCAGCACCAGCGGTTCGAAAGCTGTTTTTATACTTCACCCCAGCAACTCCTGTTGCTAGCACTTGCAGCCAATCAAAGCCTTGTGATTCGAACACGAGAATGACTACCAACAGACCTTTCTTTTCAAACTTTCTGGCCGCATTTCGAGCCCAGTCAGCAATTCAAAAAGCTGCGACTTCTCAGGCATCAGCCACTAATCCATACTCCCACAGCCCGAGTGCCTCTAATGGCACATCAACACATCATTCCTCCGGCACAACACGGACATTAACAACGAAGACGGGCCAGTCACCCACTGGTGGTACGACTGCCACTATACAGGCAACAGGACAGTTCCAGCCCAGCAGGCAGCATGCTCCACCACCATACCATCGTTCCACATCCCCAGGGGCCGCGGCATTCCCGATACCGGGGACTACGCGCAAAGACAGGCGAGGCTCGGACAGTTCATCGGAGGGATTCCGGGAAGTTGGCGGTGCCGATAAATGGTATATCGGTGGCCGGACAGCAGCCGGAGAAGAGAAGTTCTACAAACTTGGGATGATCAAAAAACACCGGAGCAATGACCGTCTCAGCCTGGACCGTCTCAGTATATGATACTGTTGCGGATAACAAAAGAAAAAGTGCCTATAAGCGTGGACGGCGTTTTAACCTTGGAAACTTGCGATGTCTGAAGAGTTCACATATTTTGAAGAGTGCGTGACTGGGAAATAAACGCCCAAGAGGGTATCCTAAGGTCATCCAGCATGTTTCGTTCCACCTATAGCTTTCCTCAAGAGTACTCTTTTCTGCTAAGAAAAGAACCTTGGTCCAACTACGTTAGAGACAGGCCTAACCACTCACATCGCGAACACGGGCAATGGCCTCGGAGATGGAGAAACTTGAGTTTCTACAGATCAATACTCCAGCGTCATCGATTGCCCGTCGAAGGGATGAAAGCGGCTCTTTCCGGACTCTCGGACCTCCGAGGTGGGGTGCCCTTGTTGAGTCCGCTGTTGAGTCGATGGTGGGACTTGCATCGGAGGGTTCTCCTTTCAGTATGACTAATAGCTGGGACATAAACCCCTTAAATTTTCGAATTGTACATATGTAGGGGCAGGGCTAGCAGCTAATTACATGAAACCTGCGCAATCAATGTCGGCGTCTTCTAGCTCGTCTCTAACCTTTGGTGGAGCGTCGATTCCCCCCTTATAAAAGTCATGATCACTGCATGCATAGGAGCATGCAAGATGCGCACCAGAAATCCCTCGCACTTGTTTAAACCTTCTTCATATAAGGTGTCCCCTCAAATAGGCATACCATCAACCAAAACCATCACACAAATACCTTTCCCATCATGATAGAGCAAAACATATTTCCAACCAGGACAAACAAAAGCTTCTCCAGCGCCTCATCGGTTAACTCTGCGGTGGACGACGAAGAGAAACCATATACGTGGAGATAGAAATTCTCTCATCGTTGGAATCCATAGTGCCGTCCTTCGATCATATGATAGGCTAGACATAGCACATCTTGCGAAATGTGACGGGGATGACAAGCCCTACGGCAAATACTCTCCATTGCGCAAGAGGACGATAGCGGGGGTGTTATCATTGGGCAGCTTCATAGCGCAAATGTCCTCTACCGCGGTGTTGTCTGCTATCCCTGAGGTGGCAGCGACTTATCAGTGTGATGGAGAGGATATAATCTATCTAATGCCCTGTTCATGCTTTTTATGGATATTGGGTAATGGACCTCAATTTCAATACTAAACTATCTCTAACATTACTAGGCCGTTATTTATGGCCCGATTGGGAATATTTATAGAAGGAGATGGGTACGTTGTCGCTCATTTCGTCCTCATGGTTGCAGCCGCCAAAATAAATACCATTGCGACTTTACGAGGACACTAAATCCGTTCTAGATTTCCATCCCCGCCACTGTCATCTTCTTTATAGCTTCTATTGGGACGACCTTAGCACCGAACCTAGCAGTCTTCTGTCTATTTCGGATGTTAAGTTGGTCCCAAGGTACTGCTTTCGCGGTGATTGGGTCCAATGTAGTTTGCGACATCTACAGGTCAGTAAGTAAATCGGCAGAGGATGGATTCATGCTGTGTAGCTAACAGGATCCCAGTCTGAGCGGGCAACTGCTCTATCATGGTTCATGTAAGGTATATCTTCTAAACGTGACTGTTCAGGGTTCTAACTTTGCCATCAGGTTTGAACGTTACTGGGACCCGCTATAGGACCGCGTCTCGGCGGCATCCTCGTCACGTTTTCTAGCTGGCGACTTATCTTCTGGGCCCAAACTGCACTAGCTGGAGTAACAATGCTACTTGTCATCGGCTCGCTTCCGGAGACAATCCACCAGAGGCGGTCAGAAGAGTTGAAGGGGGTACATGACACGGAGAAAGCACGAAAGATATGGCAGTGGTTGAATCCGTTCCGTATCATCCGGCTGTACCGGTATCCTAACCTGGTACTAGCCGTAAGTGGACGATTACTATATACTCCAGGGTTACCTTGTATTTACCACTTTTAAAGGCGTTGGGAACCGCATCTCTCGTGTGGAATTTGTATTCCATGCTTACCCCAATCCGCTACGCTATAGCGCCTTGTTTTCACATACGTCGCCGATAACAGCCGGGCTTCTTTACCTCTCACCAAGCATTGGTTACCTAATCGGGACCTATGCTGGCGGCGGTTGGGCGGACCACACGGTCAAGAAATATCTCGTAATTCGAGGCGAGAGGGTCCCTGAAGACCGACCATGGAGCTGCCTCCTTTTAATCGGCTGTGGTTTACCCATCTGGGTAATCGTCTACGGCTGTAGCGTCAAGAAGAACGTTGGCGGTCTCGCACTACCCGTGGTAACGATGGCTCTCCAAGGGTTTGGGAAAGGGTTGAGCTTTCCAGCCTTGAATACGTACAACTTGAACGTGATGCTGGAAAGTAGCTCCGAGGTTGTGGGTAAGATATCTTTCTGGACTCTTCATTCTTCTAACAACTCTGACTGTCACTATTTCCTGCTGGAATTTATATGGCACGATACCTTCTTGCAGCCCTCGGCACTGGCGTCTGCCTCCCTACTATTCGGAAGATTGGCGTAGGCTGGTTCTCTACGATTTCAGCCGCTTTCCTTATGCTTGCCGCTATTGGCATTTGGTTCTGGATTCTGTACGGAAGGCAATGGAGCGAGATACTCGATGGTAAGAAGGCCGCTAGGCGGCTGGCTGGAAAAGCGTTTTGCATACCCCAGAATGAGATACCCAGATACGTTGCAATATAGACTGTTTCAGGAAACTATAGGTTTGGGTGTGGAGTTGAAAACATTAGAGCAGTGCCTCGGTGTAAGGAGGCTTCATATTTATAGGATAAGGAGGCGCTCAAGGAGTAGAATGTTTGGTTAGACGAGAGATGATCTTGGAGGTATCGCAATGATGAAATCGGCACGGATCGTATTATAATCCACTCCTGTACCGAAACAACCAACGAATACGCCTGTTTAATGACGATATCGCTGTCCTAGCTTAATAGAAGTTTCGATTGGGACTTTAGGGATGTCCCTCTCTTGTTTCTTTCTGTAAGACCAGGATATCTGGCGGTGGTGCGGGCCAGTTCTCGAATTTGTAGAAATTAATTATATATACATACAATACGAGCCGCGCCCATTGTAGAATTTTTTGAGTTCTGGCGCGAACTATTGTCATATATTTTGAACATATTCATCTCTAGTTGCCCAAAATATTGGTGAAGTGAAAGGAATCCGCGACTGTAATTGGTTAACTCATCACTCCCGCTTACTGTGCAGTTGTCATGGGGCTGAAGTTAAGACACCAACACGACTCGAGCTCGAGCCCAAACTTCAACGCGTAGAAACTGCGAGACCATAATTTACGACTGGCGCAACCTAACCACATACCTCTCCAACCACAACCCTATGGAGCTTCGCATTTGCAGCTATGTCTTCCCGACACCCTGCCAACCTCAAATCCTCATCTTCCGCTGAGAAGAGAGCTTCCGCGTCCACCTCAAGCTACCCAACTTCCTCGCGACCCCGCGTCCCCTCTGGTACTGTGCCTGAAGAAAATGGACGTCGCAGTACAACAACTTCGAGAACGAAATCTGCTGCGGCGACAGCAGGGGACCGAGAGCGGCGTACAGAAAAGAGGGATGTTTTAACGCGAGAAACCATTTCGGTACGGACTAGGGCCTCCCCGTTGAAGCATTCGTCTGAGAGCAAAGTCAATGCACGAAGCCGCAGCGAGAAGCCCGCGAGAACGGCGGAACGGACATCGGACA